ACAACAGCGCGAGTTGTTGTCGTGTAGTTGAGTTGAGTGCAGCTTGCAGTTGTTTCCGTCTCTCACCACTCATCATTTCCGGTAGCATATCAAACAAAATAATGGAAGTTGTTTTAGTAGTGTTTGTTTCCACTGCATAACAAAGAAATGGGTGAATATTTCATTTAGAATGTTTTGATTTTCCAATTTAATTTAGAAAATGGAAATACAATAAAACAACCACGTAATTTGTTTTTCTGATTTTGTTTTGAAACGGAATAACTAATGATCGAAGGGTACACGAATCCGTGTATCATTCGTTCTTTTGATTTTCTAAATAAAACCAACATTGAAAAAACGAATAACGAGGGATGTTCTTGATTCTCAATATTTGAATTTAATGCAAAATTGAAATATCGGTTTGTTTTTGGTTTTCTGTGGATCCAATTAAAACAAAAATGCAGTAAACCAATAACGATCGTCTAAATTACTGTTTGCAAATTCCATTTGAAACACAAGAATCCCCCGGAAGTGATTCGCAAGTGCGCACCCCGCAGGTAAACAGTGGAGTAGCGGTGGAGATGAACTAAATGATGGGTGCGTTGGAAGACTTTGCAGATACAGCGATAGAATGCTTCTAAAACATTCAAACATATGCAGAAATATCAACCACGTTACACCGACTAGGTTTGTCCAAAGGTCAAGTCATCAGCTGAGTCATGTCCCTTCTTTTTGATACAGTGGTAATCACGAAAGCAAACTTTTTGAAGTGGCGTTATTTCATCGTATAGGGCTCACAGAAAGGTATTCTGAGTAAATGTATTCATTAAACATGGATCATGTTTAATGAATTTTTTTACATATCAGCCGCCTTAAAACTATTGCTGCTCCATCTCTTTTTCCTTGAATAATTGTATTGCAACATTCAAGAGGGATTCTGTCTCCCGAGGCTCAGGAATCACAGCTTGTTGTGTTTTGGCAAATTATGAAGGCCAAAGACTAAATTCATCATGAATGTAAATCTTCTGTGTGTCTGTTCCAGTGTAAATATTTTTGATTAGTTTGTTCCCAAATTAAAACACACTTGGACACAATTCTGTACATTTTTTTTCTAAATTGTGTTGAATCGCAATGGAAAACCCGTTAAAATACTAAACTATTAGTGGATTATGTATCAATAGATTTATGAATTAGGAAATGACATTCTTAACTAAACAAGACTGTAAAATGACAAGTTGTGTATTTGAATGTACCTTTACAGAACAACTTACACCTCAGACTTCCTTTCAGCAGCAACATGGGTCCAATTTTATTTAGACTTTACTAAGGACTTACATGCAAGAACAGGATCCAGAGCTAAGAATGAAAGAACAATACAAAAAAAAAAGCTGTGTTAAAAAGACACATATTTACAGCAAGTCACACATACAAAGAAGAATGTAAGGGCAAACCAGGGACTGTACAATACTATTAGGTAACATCATGACTCTACACATGACTGATAGTAGCAGTGACGTAGGAAAGGAGCGCACCCTGCACTCAGCAAACATCTGACTGGACGACTGTGTCTGGGATCTTCAGCAGCATCCTCACCGAGTCATAGGAAACTGTTAACCTCTGCAGACTGACTGCTTGTAGCTCCGCCGCAGTTGGTTTGTGAATAAAGGAGCCCAAAAAGACTGGAACAAGGAGGTTTTTACATTCAAAGAACACGTTAGACTCCATAACCAGCATGTTAGATTGACCATACAGTTTACATCTCTGTGAGGTCACTGCGTGTGTAATGCCCATTAAGACCAGGACAACTGGATTTAAGAACAGTTTTTACACTTTCAAATGTGACAGAACATAATGTACACTGATGAGTACGTGCTTTTTCATGCAATGATTCTAATTTTGTAACATAAATTTACAATGATAAACACGAGTTGAAAGTTTAAATTGTAAAGGAACAAAAAGGAGATTTGTAGATCAGTTATTATTAATTTTATTGCATTGACATAAACACATCCATCTTTGCAGATCACTGGTACCGGCCAGGACCAGCTGGAGAGCTTTGCAGATCACTGGTACAGGCCAAGGCTGGGAGTAGTGTGAAGTCTGAAACCTTTACCTGCTGCACACCCAGTGAGATCTAAAACAGAAAAGTGGGTTTAGAACAGACATAATTATTACTTGTTATAACTTAACTATCTTATAAAGTCAGCAGAAGAGAAATAGTAAACACCAAACAGAAAGATGCTATGCTAGTCTTCTATCAGGACAGGAACTCAAGCTGAACATGAGCCCAGCGGCTTTGACTGTTTCAAACCTGCAGTCTTTCTGACTGTTTCAAACCTGCAGTCTTTCTAACTGTTTCAAACCTGCAGTCTTTCTGACTGTTTCCAACCTGCAGTCTTTCTGACTGTTTCCAACCTGCAGTCTTTCTGACTGTTTCAAACCTGCAGTCTTTCTGACTGTTTCCAACCTGCAGTCTTTCTGACTGTTTCAAACCTGCAGTCTTTCTGACTGTTTCAAACCTGCAGTCTTTCTGACTGTTTCAAACCTGCAGTCTTTCTGACTGTTTCAAACCTGCAGTCTTTCTAATTGTTTCAAACCTGCAGTCTTTCTGACTGTTTCCAACCTGCAGTCTTTCTGACTGTTTCAAACCTGCAGTCTTTCTGACTGTTTCCAACCTGCAGTCTTTCTGACTGTTTCCAACCTGCAGTCTTTCTGACTGTTTCCAACCTGCAGTCTTTCTGACTGTTTCCAACCTGCAGTCTTTCTGACTGTTTCCAACCTGCAGTCTTTCTGACTGTTTCCAACCTGCAGTCTTTCTGACTGTTTCCAACCTGCAGTCTTTCTGACTGTTTCCAACCTGCAGTCTTTCTGACCTTTTCCAACCTGCAGTCTTTCTGACTGTTTCAAACCTGCAGTCTTTCTGACCTTTTCCAACCTGCAGTCTTTCTGACTGTTTCAAAACTGGCAGTCTGAGGGCTCCTCGTTTCTCTTCATAAGCCTGAAGCATCTAGCTCTAACTACTGTCCCTCGACAATAATTGAGAATGAAGCAGAAACAAAGCACAATTGAATGGTTAAGGTACATCTAGCATCATCTTTTATTTACTAAAATTTAGCATGATTACTTTCACCAATACACAAACATATCATGTTCTTATATAATATGAAAGTCTATAACATACATTTATAATAATAAAGCACCCAAATTAGGTGCATTTGTTACATGTGTAAGTGTTTCATGTATGTGCTTAAGCTAAATGTGTCGTAGCTAACGCTAACTTAGCTGTTAGCGCTAGTTGCTAAGTTATGTCTTACCTTGACACTTGTGTATATATTTTTAATCGAAGAAAACACTTCTCTCGTGGATCTGAGAATTCTCATCTGCGATGGTCTCTGCAGCAGCGAACGAAAAAGCTGGTAATCTGACTGATGTTGAGGAGAGTTTTAAGAGACATTTCTCCTACAACCAGCGCTAACAAGGTGCGATCCAAGTACCTGGAGGCGACACTTCCTGTTCTAGTGACAAACTCGCACTTTCGAATCACTTCCGGGGGACGTTTGTGTTTCAAAGGAAAATCGCAAAATGTAATTTAGACGGTCATTATTGGTTTACTGCATTTTCGTTTTAATTGGATCCACAGAAAACAAAAAAACAAACCAATATTTCTATTTTGCATTAAATTCAAATATTGAGAATCAAAAACATCCCTCGTTATTCGTTTTTTCAATGTTGGTTTTATTTAGAAAATCAAAAGAACGAATGATACACGGATTTACACGGATTATTCTGAAACCACTATTCAATATTTGGTTTTGTCATTTTCTGCATCGAAACAAAACATCAAATATCAAGCCAATTTTTCGTTTTTCCTTTTCCTCATCAAAATGAAAATTGAAAATTTTAAGATATTTCATTTTCAATTTTAATTACACGGACCTTAGTAGCACCTGTGAAACAAACGCGATTCTCGCATACTTTTTGTCCCTTATCAACCAATGTATTTCCATATGGCGAATTGACATGGATAGTCCTCAGTTCTCAAAAACATGGTGGAGGGTAAATATTCTTAGAAAGGTGATAATGCTGTTTCAACTACAGTTGAACCTGATGAAATCTCACACAACAAAGAGACAAAGTTAATCTTTTACTTGTTACATTGTACAAGGAGAATGTCTTGACAGAGGCAAGGCACAGACCCTAGCCTCTCTCAAGACAAGTCTGAAGATTCACAGTCTGCAAGCCCCTTTTGGTAGAACAAGACACACCTTTGTATGCAGATGGGAAAGGAAGAAACCAACACAACAAAAGACACTCCGAATTAGCGTATACAAAGACTGCTTCCTCTGGTGTTTAACATATGAGCTCTCCACACCTCCCGGTGTCTTGCTGGAGCTAAAGTGAATTACAATACAGAGCATTCAGCACATAGCCACGTATGATTTACCAAAATGATAACTTAAGTTACATTCCAATATCAAAAGGCCACATTTGTTATTGGTTAACACGTTTTTTTAATTTGTAGCAACTGTAAAAATTACAGTGGCTTTAAGATCATGTTATAGGTCAAAATGAATGAATGGATAATAATATACCCATAGTTCAACCTCAAGCTAATGATTGATGTGACACAATTGTGTTGATTTCCACAATTTTTGGGGTGGAGTTTAAAAGTGTCAGTTTTTGATGAAGGAACCATGTGTTGAACATTTTCCACTGGTTTTTTAATGAGTTTTTCCTTGCCGATGCAGGAGGGTCTTGTTGGACAGTTGGTGTCCAACAGAAAGGATTGGTGATGATCAGGACACTTTAGCATTCTACAACATGTGTGGACATTTTCTTCTGTGTGTGCTTTATATTTTTCATGTGTTTTAACTGTTGATTCTCTGATCTGTGTTGGTGATTTCAATGGTTTTGTTAAGTCCTCTGAGATGACTTCTGTTGTGACTTAGGGCTATACAAGAATAAATTGTATTGTATCGTATTGTATTGCACATCACAGTATGGTGATGCATGTTTTTTAGGCAGGAGAGCGTCACTCAGCTGCTCCAGCACATGTTCGAGGGCGAGAGGAGTGAAGCCTCCATCGTGAATGGAACTCAAGTGCTACTTACTCTACTGGAGACGCGGAGGTCAGGGTGAGTCAGGCTAACTCACCATGTTAGTCTTTTCTATATCACTGAACTGAACACTGAAGTTCTTTGTACATCCTGACCACATTTTTTCCAATGTTTGTTTATCCAGATATTTTTTACTTAGGAAATGCTTTCACATTGTAAAAGGGCAAATGGCAGATTTTGTCAAAGATGATGCTTTAGGGCCACATGAACCCCTTGATGCATTATCAGTTGAAGTTTTTTTTTTGTAAAGTGGCCCTCTTGTTTGTGTACGCAGGTTGGAAGGGCTGATGGATCTGTATTCTCAGGGTTATGAACGGTCTTACACTGTCAGCAGCAGTATTTTAAATGCCATTGAGCCCCACTTGAGGGACTTCCAGCAGATTCTCCTCCATCCTCCTCAGGTAAATGGCCCACATAAAGATGCATCATGGGTTGTAACAACAATCATGATTTCTGTGCATGATGTTGGAGACAAGTTAGTAGTTACTAATTATTTTAAATGATAATTCAAGTAATTTCAATTAGTTATTTGCTATTGACAAGTGTATTTAAAAAAAAAATCCCGCTCCTATAAAATACAGATGAAACTCTGATAATAAGAATATTGTGTAATATTTATGTAACACTATATATATTCGAAACTAATGTCTTACGTATGTGAAACCTTGGAAAAAGTAAAATTCGAAATCTCACAATTTTTTCTTATCTCTGAGATGATTAGAATATTGTGAAAAGGGACTGTATTGTTGGTTTAAGTGTCACCCTGTCATCTGCTGCCTGCTGTATCAAAGCACATTCATAGAAAACTAAATACCTGGCTGTGATTTACAGCTCACTTGTCAATCACAGCCCACACAAAAAAATCAGACAATTGTCATTTGCTGCTTAAAGCAATAGTTTATACACCAGAAATTCTCATTCCACCCTTGTTTACACACTAAGATAATTGTATAGCTAGACAGCTGAACCTAAGCCACAGAATTATCACAGCAGTAGTGGCTGTCAAATGATGTAATTTAATTTGAAACCACTAGATGTTGCCAGAATACTCCAACTCGCTTCGGGCATGTGTGAGACTTTGCTTCTTTTATGGCACAGGGCCTTTACAAAGCAGCGTCACTTTGCACTCAAGAGCCAATGGAGGTTAGGCACCAAATTCAAATGTAGTGCGACTGAAAATGTAGAGTGGGCGCCACACAGACTGTTTTAGGCTCAAAATTGAGATTTTATCAGCAAAAAAATAAGATGACTCCCGCACACTGTCTAACTTGCAAAAACACCAGTGATTTATTCAAATAGCAACGTTTCGGCCACAGGCCACAGGCCTTCCTAAGGCAGGTGATTTGCCTGAGGAAGGCCTGTGGCCGAAACGTTGCTACTCACTGGTGTTTTTATAAGAAACATATTTAAGCAGATTGAGTTAACAAAAGTTTATTTGGTGTTTGGTTGTCCTTTAAGAGAATTGAAAAGAGTGTGGAAGAAACAGGTTCACAAGCCACAGGGTTGAGAGGGTTATTAGGAAAAGACTCTCCAAAAGTGTTGGGGACCTTCAAAATCCTGAGTCTGGAGTCCGTCCAATTCTTTTGTTAAACCCCTCCTGAAATACAAACAAAGCGCCTTTGTTTTCATTTGGAAATGAGGATCCTAGAGTCTGTAGGAAGAATGGAGAAGCACACTATCAAAGATGCTTGAGATCCAGTGTGAAGTCTGATTTGGGGAGCGATGTCTTTGCTGTTGTTGGTCCACTTTTCTTTATTAAATCCAGAATCAACACAACACTCTACTAGGAGATTTTTGGGTACTTCAGGAGACTAACTTTATGGAGATGCTGACTTCATTTTGCAGCAAGACTTGGCATCATGCCCACACAGCAAAAAGTACCAAAACCATCAGATTACTATGCTTGATTAGCCAGCCAACTCTCCTAATCTGATTTAGCAAATTTATGAGGCATTGCCAAAAGAATGATTAGACTGAAGAGTTTCTAGGCCCCTATTGAAGCATCCTGATCTTCATTACACCTCAGCAGAGCTACAGGCTGAGAGCATCAATACCATACATTCTTTTGTATGTATAAACTTATTCCTTATAATATATAATTGATAACCAGCCTTTTAGTTTTGGTTCAGCCCAAGCATGGACACATTTTGTTCTAAAATAAAGTAAACTTAGATAAAAGCTAAAAAATCCAAATACTCCCCTTAAAAATCTTTCGCAAGGGATATGTTATAAACACATTTTCCATAGCAATAAAGAACCAGATGGGGTATATGGAGGACCAAAACTGTCAAAATTATAAATAAATGAATAAATCGATAAATTTCACATTCTGCCAATAATTATTAAGATGACACAACAAATCATGAGATTTAATAAATATATATATTATTATTATAAAACTTTTTTTGGTTCCAAACAAAATAAATCTTTGTTTTCCTGTTCGTTCAAAGGTTAAGATAAAAATAAAAATATAACAGCAGTTTTTTGCACAAAGAAATAATACAATCTCATTTTTTTCTTTCCCCATATATTTTTTTCCCATTTCATTTTTATTGATGTTCTGTTTAATTATTTCACGACACATTATTCCTTTATCGTGTCTTATAAAATAATACAAATGAAGGGGGCTTAGCTACAGAAAGTTTCCGCACCATTCCCCACAGTGAGGAGGTCTGACCCACAGAGAGAAGGTCCTTTATTCATCCCACAATGGGGAAATTTCAGTTTGATGCATACACATACACATCAAGGCAAGCAGCGAACATCACTTCCGTGCTCCTTATAGGCAAAGTGGGTTAAGTGTCTTGCCCAAGGACACAACAACAGCAGACATCAGTGGAGTTGGCGGAGAAGGTCTAGAGGTGGGCTCGACCCCATGACCTTTGGGCTCAAAGGCCAATGCTCTACCAAATGAGCGCCCCACAGTGTGAGGAGGTCTGACCCACAGTGTGAGGAGGTCTGACCCACAGTGTGAGGAGGTCTGACCCAGTGGGAGGAGGTCATTTATCATAACAAGACTCTATTTGACAATAAATCCGCCACGAAATTTTTGCGGGCCACCATCTTGCCTGTCTGCCATAACTGCGTTCCTGCTATTGTGACTTACCGGCGCCCTCTGCTGGATTTTCAATGAATGATGAGATAATATTCATTTTATTCATTATTTTAGGTTCATACAGGATTCAGATATTTGTCATAAATACATAGATACACACATTTCTTCTTCACCCCTATAGAGACCTGAAATAGAGTGGGAAGAGTCTATCTTATTTTATCTTAAGAAGTAAGACTTATGAACTCCCATATACGTACATACATTCACGTATAGCCACCCTGTGTAATTTTCACAGCGGTTCCATATTCAAAAACATGTTAACTAATAACATGTGACCTTTTTAAGAATATTTACCTCCACCACGTTTTTTGAATTGTATTCATAGGCTTAGAATTTAACTTATAAATGAAGAGTTTGGTTCCAAAACGCGATAAACTCCATTTAAAAAAAAAAATGAGTTGGCGCCAAAATCTGAAGTGTATTTGGCCACGGTTGATAACTCCATATTCAGTTTTCTGCAAAACGCGATATCCGCCGTTTTATTCCGTCCTGCTTTCTCCCATTCTTTCCAAACAGCGATAAACGCCAATCCACCTTTTCCGCAGAACACGACAAATCCACTCGACCAATCACAGCGTAGCATTCCACGTCTAACAAACAACTATGGCGGCGCCCTGAAAAGAGCCGGTATCAGAGATTACTTTGCAATATACAGCGGAAATAAACGACAATGAATAATTTTGATGACATCGATGAGCCTGTGGTGATTTCTGCTATTGGTAGGAAACGTAAACCGTCTAAAGACAATCACAGCCGTGAGACTATTAAGAAGATGAAGCACTCGGGAGGGGGGAAAATGCCGGCTGTCATCTGTAAACACACCAAAGACTCAAACTTCTGTAACGCTGACACATTGACACCAGGCGATATACAGAGAAACTTTGACATTTTTTAGAGTGACCCAACGAAAATCAAGCAAGACCAAGCAATGTTGCAACTTATTACCGTAAAAAAGTCCAACGGAGACGTCCGAAAGTTGACGAAACCGGCAGTCGAAAGAATAGGGATGTCACGACGCAATATTATTTACTGACTGAAGACCATCCCCGGAAGATTCCAGTCTGCAAGGCCACCTTTTGCAGCGTATTGGGTGAGTTCAATTTTTTTTAATAGCCTATATAACAAGTAGTTTATTGAAGATTTAGTGGTGCCTGCCTGCTCGTAAGCTTACTAAGCAGCGATGTCACATTTAAATGTATAGATCAGGGCTCGGGAACCCAAAAGGTTCAAAGAGCCATATTTGACAAAAAAACAAAAACAACATCCGTCTGGAGCCGCAAAAAATAACAGCCTTATAAGGCTTATATGAAGGTAACACAGGCTGAAGCTGTATTAGCTATATTAGCCTAATATCTAAATGACAAAGGCTACAAATATATAATAAGCATTCATGATTATCAAATAAGTATTACTGCAGCGTGTCGCACCACGTGAAAACTCTGCTTTAAGTTTAACTTCCATTTTTTTGCCTTCATGCAATTGTCAAAATACAGTAAATAAATCTACTTTTTGGCTCAGAGTTCACTTACCTGCATTACTGTCTGCTCATATCGATCACGTCACAGGCTGAAGTTTCCTGGAGCTGAATAAATGTCCTTAATGGCCCTTTCTTGCATCGTCTTTGCGAAGGTTTTTGAAGTAAAAAAATAGGTCCTCTGAGTTTTTGATGAATGAATCCTTCACGTATTCACCGTGAACTGTGTTTTTGCGCTTCATTGTTCCTCGTGTTGCAACAAAACCTCTCATTACAAACATGAAGCAGTCCTTCCTCATTGACTGAAAGCAAATGTTCATTCTCATTCTTAGTCCAGTCTTATCATCGACTCTTTCTCTTTTTAGCTTTGGGATCCGTGCGCACTCAGTCTATGATGCACACACGCCGGTTTGTTTACAGACGCGGCCGCATGGCGCGGGCCGCGTCACAGGATATGACGCGCACTACGTTGACAGAAATGTTGAAATTGAATATTACTTATGCACATTTTTACAGCATTTAAAAATGTTAGAATGCTTTTCCTCCAACAGATAACACATTCAAACTCAAAATAATATATGGCAGCAGCTTAATTCACAACACATACTTTTAAGGCAGCCTGGCATGTATCAAAGTGCAAGTGAGACAGGTCTGTCCTAACTATAGACTGTCCTATTCATGAATTCACATTCAGCATTAGCATGCATCCAGGTTATAAAGCATTATTTGATGCAATTTCCTGTGATTTTTTAAAGAACGCTGAGCTTCTCCTGTAGTTTTAATGGTTTAAATTTGTTTAATTTATTTACCTC